TAAACGCAACAGAACTGTATTTGCATTGTCTCGTGGAGTTCTTTGGGCTGAACCTGACAGAGACCCTTGGGAAGAAGGCCTGGTGCAGCCTTGTCAGCAGTGGGAGGAAGAAGATGGGCAAGGTCACCTGGAGGCAGTAGGGCCAGCAGGGTGGCAGGGCAAGCAGAGCCCAGGGGAGCAGGGGAAGCAGAGCCCAGGGTAGCAGGCAGCAGAGCAGCAGGGTGGGTGGAGCCCAGGGCACCAGGCCAGCAGAGTGTAGGGCAGCAGGGCCAGCAGAAGCGGTGGAGTGCAGGGCAGCCGAAAGGGCACAGATGGGGGGAGAGAAAGGCAGGTGAAGGAAGTTGAAGCACCCCTGCAGTTGTGAGTGTGGGTGGGCTGCCAAACGTCCAAATTTCGATCACATGACCGTGGGGGTGCTGCAATGGCTGTAACTTCAGGGACCAGCTGTAACTACCATTCATTCAGCACTGCTGTAACTTTGAATGGTTGCTGAACAAATGGTTGTTAAGCGAGGACTACCTGTACTTATTAATTCTATTAATATAATTTTACCATTGGGTTTTGCTCCTGGCTTTTTTTGGGGGGGGGGGCGAGTGTGGCTTCTGGCAGATGTATTTGCACATACATAATATGTCTACACATTTATTAGGGAGAAAGAAATCTCAAGAAATAGTTTCAACTAGAATTGGCAACCCTAGGCTGATAAGGTGGGGAAGCTGGGCATTAAATTGCCCAGGTAAACCAGACAGGGAACATGACTAGATGAGCTAATTCTACTTTATTGTAAGGCTATCTTAACAGAATCTTGCAAGTCTGAAAGGACAAATCTCCCACCCTCCCTATTTACCCCCTGAGTAGTTAGGCGGGTTCTTCCTAAGTTTCTTTCTCTGGCCATTACTCTGTTGAGGACTCCTTTCTATTTTATCCAATCATTCCCTGGGCGGCATCTCTTCCCCCGATTCTTCCAAGGTCACCCTTACATTCCATCACATAAATAGATTTATATCTGTGGGGTTGTTTGTTTTTTGTCTACTCCATTTAGGGGCAAGTTCCTATTAATATCAGAAGAATCTTCTTTACTGATAAGTATGATACACGAGAGGTTTCCAAAGCTTCCAAATGTTGGATAAGGCCAACAGAAAAGAAGCACAGCACTGAGCTAAAGTACAATAGCTAGTAGAAAAGAAGTGCAGAATTTCCACTGCCATTTCACTCACTGGAAAAGAACCACTAGACAATGGCTGCATTACCCTGAGCATTATCAGAATCTGACACCTCCTTTCTATTGAAAGTCCAGAAGCAACATCCATTAAAATGACTTTTCTATATATAATCCATAGCAAATTAAAAACATAAAGTGACAACACAACACAAAGCATATGACAGTTATTTCAAGGCAGATTTTTTCCTAAAAAGGTATTGGCAGGTCTTAAAATAATGCCGAATCTGCATTGGCAGCTGCTGGAAAACACAACTCAAACCTCTAATTTAGCTTTTCTGCAAAAGAACCACTGTTGTTTCTTCCTCCTTTGAAAAATGGGATAGCCTCCCCCCTGCCTTCAAATAAGAAAAAGTGCTCTGGTACACTAAAAATGAAGTAGCTTCCACACTAATGAGGACAGACTTGCCAAAGTACATGGACCTATATTATATGTAAAAAAAAAATAAGAAAAAGAGAGAAATTGCAAATTTAAACATAATGACTGAAAATGTATACAGTAGCTATTCCCTTTGCTGGCAGACAAATACAATGAAATTTCTCAGAACAGCAGCTCTTTTGTGCTTGCCTATTATATTTATACAACTGCAGATCAAGTAGTTGCTTAAATGCACACACAGCAGAGTTCTCTTCCTGTATCAAGATAATATATAAAGTAATAACAAGCCATAAACATAAGGCTGTATCTGAACTAAAGACATCTATGGTTGCAATAAGGACAGAACAGAGTTAATGTGCAGGATATCTTGCACTATTTAACAGAAAGGTCCCTATGTCACAGTAATTATTACACTTTTTAACACTAATATCAAAAGTAGTCAGAAGTACATCTACCTAACTATATCCTTATGCTACTATACTTTTTTTTTATTTTCCTCTTTTAAATAAAAAATGAAGAATCTGAATTCCAAGAACTCCCATAAATATTTAGGTGTTTTAAAACAGTGCATTCACACGTATGCTGTTTTTCCTTACATTTGATCACTCCCCGACTCTTTTTGGCTTCTGTCTTCAAAGGAATTGCTTTAAAGCCTAATTGTTCTATCATTCTGAGATCCAAAGCTGTAGTTATGTGTGTGGCTATGACTAAATTCCCAAAGAAGTAGTCAAGGGTTTTAATTAAAACGTAGCTGGCAACCTTTCACAGCTAGTACAAACTTGATCTTTTCCATATCTTCAGTTCATCTTCTCCCTCTCTGGATATCTGCACTGGGTACACAGATCTTTCACTGTGTCATTCTCCTCTTTGGTGCTGTTGATCTTGATCTGGAAGGTGCATCTCTTTAGCAGTCCAATACTGCCTAATTCCATCTTTGCTTGCAGGTCTACCCTAGCCATTTTTCTTCTTCTCCTCTCACCCTGACTCCAACTCCAACACAGCTAACGTTCTGCCAGCTCCTTAGCCCATTTCAACTTCCCCCCTCCATGACAAACTGTATGTATATGAGAAAAACATCTATTTCCACCTCCCAAAGCATTTTTCCCAGCCTCAGATTATCACCTCAAGTACAGTTTGTATGTCTGAGAGATAGTATCACAAGACAGCAGACAGTATTTACCTTTTCTATTATGTCATACAATTGCAGAATTGTTTATTTATAATTTAGATTTATACGGTTGCCCAATGATTCTTTTATGTCATAGCTTCCTACCATTTGTTGTCACCTCTGAAAAGACAGTAGCTATGAAAAATGCAGACAGGATTTTTTAACAATATTCTTCTTCCTGGCAAAGACATGCATACATACATACATATGTAAGGACTAGGTTCACACATTGTGTTAAGTTATAATGTGGTTTCTTTGGTTATGTCTTGGTATGAATCCAGTCATTGTGATTGTAATTGTTCTTTACAACACAGCATGTTCTGCATTTGATTGTAGTTTATTCAATAAACCATTAGTAGACAAATTAAACTGCACAGAAAATGGGGAAAATATCCATACCTTGCCATTCCAAGACTGGAAAAGTTCAGTGGAACAATCAAAACATCAAGCCGGGAAAATGGGTGCGTACCCAGCAGATCATACGCAGCAGAGAGACACTGAGGAAGCAGGTGGGGTAAAACCTTTTTGCAGGATTCCTTAAGGCACAGAGGAGCAAAGATGCGATGAGGAATAATAACCTGAGTAGAGGTGGTAGGATCTTGGAAACGACAAGGATATGGTATATGATCGCAAGCCTTTTCTAATAACCTGGCAGAGACAAATAATAAGTCATTGAACGTTGATTTTTTTTTTTATAAGTTATGAGCACTTGAAGATAATTCAGCAAAAAGGGACCAAAGTGTTTGGGTTATTTGTTCATACAGTGTTAACAGGGAAACATTTGGATCAGAGGACAATTTCTTTTCTTTAACAGTCTTTTTTTTTTTTTTAATCAGCTATACACAGAATTCAGAATCCCATCAAGGCAAGAAAAATGTGGTTTGGGTAACTTGCTCAGAATTAGAGCTAGTAGCTCTGCGGGGATTTTCTGCTTTACAACCACTTTCCAAATATTGTTATATTTTGTCTCCCCGTAACCTCTTTATTTAAGAAGTAAGACCTGCAATGTAGGCAGTGAAATGATGTTAATGCCCTAAACTACTCAATAATCATGAACACCTCAAGCTAGGATGCTGTTAGAGCTATCTGTTGAAAGACATTGTCAGTTATCCTGCATTTTCATCTTTATGGTTCTTCCAGATGAGTGTGAAAGTTCTGTGATACTATGATAGCAAATCTGATAATTATAAAAACAAAGGACAGATTGGAGCATAGAACAGGAAGGGGGGGAAAAAGAGGGGTTGAATATTGTTTCTATATACATGGCTTGTTAAATCATAGCAGTTGCTGAAATTCTTTGCTTACGGCCTCTGACATTTTTCAATAAATATTACTTTTGTGAAGTTCTTGTGAGCTTGCCGAAGTAATCTTTCCTGCCACTGGATAAAACCTAACAATGAGATTTTATCATGCAGTCATCCTGCCCTGTTCAGAGAATTTTACAGGAAGTTGAAATGATGCTTTCTTCCATTTATAACCCTATCATGTTTTCTCACCATTTTTTTAAACAAGCAAAATATCTTAAGTAGAGAAAAATGGAATAGTGCTACAATGCCTTTGCTTTGATATAGCTAGTTAACTGTTTTAAATCCATAACAAATTTTCTGTAATTAAACAAATAAATAGCATAAATATCATCTGGAGATAAATATCATCTCCAGAACATAGGACAATAGATTATTAATGTGCACATAGCCTGAATTATGTTTCCAATCTGGAAGGCTAAACAGTCACAACATATTAACAATATTTTTTTTGAATTCTTTGAACAAATTTTTGACATGAAACTGATGATCTGTTACTGATCCAGAAGCACTGCATGTATCAGATCTGCAACATGCTTTTCTGTGGTACTATCATTCTATAAATATAGGAACAAACAAAGATCATTAGAAACGTGATTGTTCAAACCAAAAATGAAAAGAAGGAAACGTGAATGGGAATTTTACAAGACAGCCTGCTAAAAATGTGAAAGAAGGATGCCAAAAATATGAAATAGGAATAGCAGTCTAATTAGCTTCACAGGGGATATTACTGCATCAGTCAAGGCTGTAAAACAGAGAACAGTTTTTACAATGTAAAATGGTAAGCAATATGGAATTTAAAAGGGAAAAAAAAGCAAAAGGATGCTTAAAAGCATTGTTTTATTAGGCCTTAATTAAAATTAACCTATTAAGCAATCCCATTTTGTCTTTGATTGTGCCTCTGTAGTGACATGTGCAACCATACGCTTGTTAATCTCAGTGTTAAAAACAAACATGGTTTGAATTATTTAAAACTAACAACACTGTGACTGAAAAAAGTATGAGAGCTCTGTAGAGTTTAGGTGTTCAACTTTTACATTATGCAGCTCAAGTAAATCACAGAAAAAGCCATGCTCTTATTCAAAGAACCCTTTCTTTCTGCATAAGCAACACACCCTTGCCCATCCTCATTCAGTGGACTAACTTCTCTTATACAGTTTTCTTCTGCTTTGATGAAACATGTTCTTCTATTGTTCCTTGACTACAATGATTCATTTTCTTTTATAATAGAACAAATTGAATGTTCTGTAAAGTACATATTTTTCAGCTGTAATCACCAACCTGACATCCGCTTTTGAGGACAGCCCATCATTCTTCAGAACATCAGTTTCATAACTTTTTCTTTTAACTTCTGCCCAACATCCAACAGCAATAGTAAAGGTAGATGCTGGCATTGGCATTGTAACATAATAAAACCAATTTAATATACCTAAGAAGAAAAACATGTACACAGTATATTATCCATCACATTTGCTCACCATTTGTTAAATCTAAAAATGTCTTCCATGATTCAGTTAAAACCTGAAATATAGATTTGTTTTTGTTTTAATGTTTCACTTTAATGTTTTAATTGGATAGTGGCCCTATCCAATTAAGATAAAATGTTACCTAGAAGGGAACCAGGAGTGCAAGACCCCCCTCTCCTGCAATCTCCACCTGCTTTGCAGATGTTGAAGATCTGCTCTGGAGTATTATGAGACCCTCTAGATCAGAATTTGGAAATATATAGGGTGGTAAAGTGCTAGAAGATCTGGAGAAAGTCTTATGGGAGTGGTTTTCTGCTTTGTGACATGAGATTTCACAGAGTTTTTAAATGGTGGGAGTTCTTGCCTAATTTATCTGATATGTAACATGGCAGCAAAAATACTGAGTGTAATACAGTGTTGCATTAACGGATGACCACCTTGTGAAATGGATTCTTCCTTGCCCCATCCAGTTTTTGGAATCCCCAACTCCTTCCAAAAAGCCAGAGAAGGGTGGGGAATGTGGAATGAAGTCAGAGAAAATAATTGCCATATTTAGCAAATTTGCACAAAACTGAGCATCTTCTGAATAAAAAGGCAGGATATAATTGGAATATGTATATGTGTATCTCCACGTAATTTAAGAAGATTCACTTCCTTTGCAAATGGGAAAAACATATCTTACAATGTTCAGTACATTGGAGGAGTACATGTAGCTCCAATGAGGAACAGAAGAGAAACAGCCGTGCCATCTACTTGTGCAGAATTGGATGTCTCTCATTAAGCAAAAGTATCAAGGTGGGATTAACCTCGGTATAAACATACATATACCCATTGTAAGAGCCTTGCTTTTGCAATATTGACCTAATATACTCAATGTTATACTAAACTACAATAAAATAAAGGTTCTGTAACAACTTCCTTTATTTTGTTTAATATGCATTAATTGCATCTAATTAATTAAGTATTCAACAAGCTTCTTTTATTCCACTGTATTTTGTATATGCTGGTTTTGTACAAAAGTTGCAAGTCAGGTTCCATCTTTACCCACAAACATCTTTAGCAGTGATCTAAAAGAAATTCACCATATATTCCTATGGGACTGAACTACAAGATTTGAGAAAATGCACTCCACTTACAGCACAAATGACATATGTGAACAAAAGCACATGCTTTAAGATGTTGCAGATAGCTATTTAACATGCTCCCATGCACTCCAAAGCATCTTCTGGAGATCAAATCCAACGCACTACCCAGGCTAATGCACATTTACAATGGACCCAATTATATTTTTGGAGTTGATTTCAAATGCAAATCTATGGCAATACAGCAGTACAGCCATTCTAGTATTGTACTCATTGGAAGATGAGTGGGAAACAGTGGCTTATCTTTGAGCCTCAATCCCTGCATTATCAGCATAAATAATAATCACTTATCTTCAGGGTTATTAGAAGGAACTTTGTCTATTTATGTAAACAGTTTTGAACAGTCTAAAACTAGTACCGTATACTGAGAGCAGCAACTCCAAATACCATTGTGTCTGTGAGTACATACCAAGGAACGTACCATGCTCTACCATCCATTGACATGTTCAAGGAAATATAGTCAGCAGAGAAAG